TTGCTTGTAGTCTGGCGACTGAGGCAAATTTTGTATGGATGCCCAGCTCGTCGCAGAACTGCTTGAACTCCTCGTTATCGAATTGCTTCCCATTATCCGAGATGAGGGTGTGGGGAATTCCGTAGCGGCACACTATGTTCTTCAAAACGAAGTCTTTCAGTTTTCTGGTCGTGATCATGGCTAGCGGTTCAGCTTTGACCTATTTTGTGAAATAATCTACGCGACCACGGCACACTTGACCCCTCCCTTTCCAACTGGCATGGGGCCGATAAGGTCAATCCCCCACATGGAAAATGGCCAGGGGCTAGACATCGTTATCAGCTCGTGCGAGGGGGCTCGCGGGATGTTCGCGAATCGCTGGCACTTATCACATTTTCTTGACAAAATTGTGCATATCTTCTTGGATTCGGGACCAATAATATCCCTGACGAACAACCTTGTTTGCAAGAGATCGAGCTGCTGTGTGATTACCACAGATCCCTTCGTGAATTTCCCTCATGACGTAGTCTGCTTCTTCACTGGTTACACACCGAATGAGAGGGGCACTGAATCCTCTCCTGTACAGCTGGTCCCCGATGAGTGTGTAACGAGCAGATCTTGCTCGCAGGATCCTTGCCTCGACCTTGTCGTCTGGCAAGGTCCCATCCTTGAGGTACTAGAGAATAGGAGTCATCCAGGAATCCGGTTGAGTCACATTTACGGCCTGTTCGGCTAGGCTGATAGCTGGAGCATCCACAAAACGAACAGGAATGTTGTCTGGAGCCTCTGAATCCAACGACGAGGCTATCTTTGCTAGGGCGTCCGCTATAGAATTGCTATCTCTGGGGATCTGAGTGATTTCAAAGCGTTTAAACGACCCAAGAGCGGTCTTAGCTTCTTTCAGGTAGCGGACCATGTTCTCTTCCTTGGCTTGGTATTCCCCTAAAATTTGATTAACGACCAGCATGGAGTCGCTGTAAATGCTGATCGCGGTTGCACCCATTTCTTTGGCAAGTCGCAACCCGGAAAGCAGGGCTTCATACTCAGCCTCATTGTTGGTTGCTTTAAACTTGAATCGGAGAATATCATGAATTCGAGCCCCCTCAAGGCTTACAAGGAGAAGACCCGCACCGGCTCTTTTTCTGTTCGATGACCCGTCGACGTAGAGGTTCCAGGTCGACAGGTTTTGAATACTTTCCTACACGACTTCGCTAGGCTGTTGCTCACTTGGGAGATAGGAAAATTCTGAGATGAAGTCTGCAACAGCTTGCCCTTTAATGGTCGACCTGGGCTTGTACTACAGGTCGAACTGGTTTAGTTCCATGGCCCACTTGAGTAGTTTACCCGAGGCTTCTGGTTTCTGGAAGACCTCCCTAAGGGGGTAATTAGTCATTACATGGATCGTATAGGTGTGGAAGTAAGGTCGCAGCTTTCTTGATGCGATTAGTAGAGCAAAGGCTAGTCACTCCATTTCCGGATACCGCATCTTGGCATCCGACAGGCGTTTGCTCGCATAGTACATTGGCCATTGCGCCTTTTCCTCTTCCCGTACCAGAGCTACACTGACCGCGAACTGAGATACGGACAGGTAGATGAGCAGGATTTCCTGTGGAAGAGGCTTAGAGAGGAGAGGTGGCTTCCCAAGGTGTTCTTTTATACTCTGGAACGCCTGTTCGCATTCGGGAGTCCATTCGAACTTCTTATTGGCCTTCAAAACATTGAAAAATGGAAAGCAGCGGTCTGTTAGCCTTGATATGAAGCGACTAAGTGCCGCTATTCGCCCATTCAGACTCATGACCTGTTTCTTACTGGTCGGGCTCTCCATATCGAGCAGAGCTTGGATCTTCCCGGGGTTTATTTCTATGCCCCTCTGATTAACCATATACCCCAGGAACTTTCCTGACGATACCCCGAACGAACACTTGAGAGGGTTCAGCTTCATTGTGTATAGTCGGAGGATGTCAAACATCTCGGCGAGATGTGCAATGTGTTCTGAAGTGACCTGGGATTTGACCAGCATGTCGTCCACATAGACCTCCATTGTCTTTCCGATCTGGTCGGAGAACATTCGGTTAACCAACCTCTGATAGGTCGCGCCCGCATTCTTGAGGCCAAAAGGCATAACTTTGTAACAGTACAGCCCCCGGTCCGTAATGAAGGACGTATGCTCCTCGTCTGGCCCATACATCAGGATTTGATTGTATCCCAAGTATGCATCCATGAAGCTTAGCAGCTCGTGCCCCGAGGTGGCATCAACGAGCTGGTCGATTCTCGGCAAAGGGAAGCTATCTTTCGGGCAAGCCTTGTTGAGGTCGCTGAAGTCAACGCAGGTCCACCACTTGCCGTTTGGTTTCTTTACCAGGATCGGGTTGGCAACCCAGGTCGGGTATAGTGCCTCTCGGATGGATTCATTTCGGAGGAGGCTTTCCACTTCTGATTTTAGTGCAGCGTACCACTCCGGATCCATTGCTCTTCTTTTCTGGCGAACCGGTTTGGCCTCATTGTTGACGTTTAATGCATGGCAAATGATGTCCGGGCTGATCCTGACCATATCTGCATGCGACCAGGCAAACACGTCAATATTTTCCCTTAAGAAGCTTATCAGTTCGGAAGTGAGCTGAGGGTTGAGACAGCTTTCAATCCTTAGTACTCAGCTCGGCTCTTTTGGATAAACCGAAATTTCGATTAGATCCTCAACCGGGCCACTAAGAGGGATTTCCTGGATTCACGGATCTATGTTATCCTCCGCTGGACCAGGCTGTAGTTCGATCCGGCTGATCGCCATAGCCTGGCGAGGCATACATCGAGAAATGCCCTTTCCCTTGCCTGCCATCTGCACCGCTTTTACGTAGCATTCGCGAGATGCGCTTTGCGATCCGCTCACTTCCCCTATCCCCGTTGGAGTGGGGCACTTCATCTTGAGGTGATATATGGAAGTGACTGCCTTGAAGCTCCTCAACAGAGGTCACCCCAAGATTCCATTAAAGGCCGATGGGCAGTCTACGACCAAAAATTCAATAACCCTAGTCACCTCATCGTAGTCGCTGAGCGTGACTGGTAGCTGGATCGTTCCTTTGGGGATCAGGTGGTCCCCTGTAAAACCGTAAAGAGGTATCGAGGCGGGCTTCAGGTCGGCCTCATCTAGATTCATTCTATCAAAAGCGGTCTTGAACAGGATGTTCACAGCGCTTCCGTTGTCCACAAGTATTCTACAGACATTATGGCACCCTATCAGGGGCGTGATCACCAGGGCATCCTCGTGAGGATGGTGCAAGCGAGCTGCTTCCTTTTCGCAGAAGGTGATCGATTTCTCCTTTCGAGCCTTTTGCGGTCGCTGCGAAGTGTTCATTACCCTGATCGGGTCGTGATATGCTTCGCGAGCGTACCTTTCCTGCGCACCTCGCGTGTTTCCCGCGAGGTGCGGGCTTCCGAAGATTATGTTAACACTACTGTATTCGCTGCGATCACAATGCTTTTTCTTCTGCTCCCCTTGGTTCTCTTTTGGAGAGTCATCAATATACTCTTTGAAGTGCCCTTTCTTGATAAGCTCTTCGATTGCCTGCTTTAGAGCTCGGCATTCATCAGTGTGATGCCCGTTATCCCGATGGAAACGATAGTATTTTTTGCTGTTTTTGGCCATAGCAGGGGTTTTCATGGGTTTCAGTACACTGAACAGGCTGGCCTCCTCGAATTTGTCAAGGATTGCAGATATGGACACGTTCAGCTAAGTGTATTGTGCTCTGTCCCGGTCGCGACGAGGAACAGGAGCATAGGACTTCTTGTGTTCGTAGCGGGGTTTCTTCCCTTTTCGCTGATCATCAATGTCTCATTTGCGATCAGCTCTCCTATTTTCTCCCCGACCAGACATACTGCTTGAAGTGTCGTGATCGCGACAGCGGAGTGCTGCCAATGAATTCTCTATTCGGAGATATTTTTCTGCAAGGTTGTAAAATCTGGTGAGGGAAACATCGTCCTCAACCTGCATTTCTTTCCACAGGTCGGTTTGCGGGCGAACTCCAGCTATTATAAGTGTTCGGATGGACTCCTCTGGGGTATAAGCCACCTTGTTGAGTTCCCTGTGGAAACGGTCGATATAAGATTATAGGGATTCGTCTCTTTCTTGCCTTATGTTGCGGAGGTACACTACAAGAAAACTGGCATTCTGCGTCTAGCAAAATTAGACGCAGAAAGTCACATTTAGACGCTAAGCCTTTTTTAGCGTCTAAATCTGGTAGTCACCCCTTAGTTGCAGTAGGCTGGTCGTAGATTCATAGTGCGTCTAAATTTTGGTTTAGACGCGAAAAGTTTTTTTTTTGGCGACTAGCAAAATAGTCGCTAAATGCTGGTCAAATTAGTCCCCTAACTTAGACGCTAAAAGTTCAAGGGTAATTTGGTCAAATTGTACATCGACTAATCAATTAGTTCAAATTGTACGTTTTAATGTCTAATAATTTGTCGCGAATCCCACAAAAATTAGATGCCAAAGGTGTAAGGGTAATTTCGTAAAAGATTTTTGCAACTATTTTATTAATCAACGAATGTATCTTTTGGTGACTAAAATTTGGTGATTAATTATAATACTTTTAGAAGCTGAATGTAAAATCCAAAAGGTTTTCGCGACTATTTTATTAGTGATCGAATGTATCTTTTGATGACCAAAATTTAGTAATTAATTATAATCATTTTAGATGCTAAATGTGGAATCCATAATGTTTTCGCGACTATTTTATTAGTGGACGAATGTATCTTTTGATGATCAAAATTTAGTGGTTAATTCTAATTATTTTAGACGCTGAATGTGAATAACAACTCTTTTCCATAATTTGAGACGCATAAGAAATATTTTACCATGATTGGATCATTGTGAATTGCGTATGTAAGCAATCAATGGAATGAGAAAGAAACCCCATAACCCACATTGAATTTTAATGCTGCCCAGTCCTTCCTTCTTGCTCAAGCCAATTCCTAACAGACTCATACTCCATCAAGCAATCGCAATAAATCCATCATTAGAAATATTAGCTTTCTTAACTTTCTGGCATAACCTTCCAATGAAACTTCAGTATACAAGGTCAAAGTGAAATGATTCCATTGAATAGGACAACTATACATATATGTATTGCAACCATTAACAATCTCTAACTAATAAACAACACTAATGTGAGATATGAAACATGGTTAAACATGAATTAAACAAAATGAAGTCAGCAAAGGTATCCATCGTACAATAATGTGATTTGAAATGCAGCTAATAATGTGTTACCAATAATTGCATGTACACTTACCGCAAGCGCCCTATACAGATTTCCTACCGCAACCTTCTGAATCTCTATGCGCTACAATTGAAACTATGAAATCTTTATACTTTGTGATCATAAGGCAAACACTCATGCAGTGCTCCAAAGTATGTGACAAACAATTCAGAAATAAATAGTTCTACAAAGCTGAAGGATTAAAGACTTGAATAAATTATAACTACGTCCTCAGCCACAAGATCGTGAATGAGTCCAAAAACCTGCAGTTAAACCAGAAAGCAGAAGCGATCGTTACAAAGAAAACATTTCATTTTAAAAATTGTAGTCATTAAAAAAATATAATAGACACCTACAAAAGAACTGACCAGCATACACTGAATGTAACAACAACATTATAAAACAACACACAAAACGGGCATAAATAATTCGATTCAGTTTCCTTTTATATGCATTTCTCAAAACTCAGCCAAGGGTACTTAAAGATAAATGAACTAGTTAATACAAGACAACAAACCTATAATATACAAATCAGACCAGATAACCGAGAAGATCAAATTACAAACATAAAATCCTCCTCCACTAAGGCTTTATATAATCTAAAATCAATGATCTGCCAATCCTTTCATATTCCACTCTTATCCAAGACTTGATTCTAAAATGATCACAACAAAATTATAAACCATAAACCCATTTTCAGGAAACCATTATAGCAGTTAACCCTAGCATAAACTGGAAGTTTTCATTGCCGTTTTGTTTTGTTATTGTAATTGTAATCAAACACACATTTAAATAAAACATTTAGAAGCAACCCAACAGTGACATAGTCAATGTCTCTAGTTGTTTTTTGCATAACAAAAACAAAATCCAAAGCCTCTTCCCATTGCAGGGCATGAGTATACCCTGCCAGCATTGCATTCCAAGAGACCACACTCCGTTCAGGCATCTCATTAAAAAGCTCCCTTGCCTCTCTAATTCTCCCACTTGTTGCATATCCCGACATAATAGAAGTCCAAGAAATCAAACTCCTCTTTCCCGGTTGGTAAAATATCCTATGAGCATCCTCTAATTTCCCACACTTAACATACATATTAATAAGGGAACCCAAAACCACCTCATCCCCTTCAAAATCATTCTTAATAACAACTGCATGAATCTACATCCCCTCCTTTAACTTGGACAAAACCGAACAAGCAATTAGAGCATTAACAAAAGTAAAATTCAAGGGCCTAATATTTTCCCTAAACATTTTAAAAAACATGAAAACAGCCTCATTCTCATCCCCTGCCTCAAGATATCTCCTAACAATCACATTCCAAGAAACAACATTCTTATTCTCTATCTCATCAAATATTCGCCTCACGTCACTCACAACCATACACTTCCGATACACATCCACAAGCGAGCTTTCCAGAGTCACATTCCCACAAAACCCACATTTCACAATCACTCCATGAACCTGCCTCGCAAGACCAAGCTCCAATTCCCCACCACAAGACCGCAAAACGCTAGCAAAACTAATCTCATTCGCTAAAATCCCCGCCTTATTCATACCTACAAACAATACCAACGCTTTCTCTGCAAACCTATGTTGCATATATGCGCTAAGCATTGCATTCCAAGACCCACCATCTCTCTCAGGCATTTCATCGAAGAACTCCCATGCGTCACTCAAATACCCGCATTTGCCATAACATTCTATAGCTCGGTTCAAGAAAAACGTGGGTGGCGTGGGACAGAATAGTTCCAATTAGAGTAAGCAAAACAAAGAATAGTTCCAATCACAGTAAAACATACCATTGATTCCAATCTTTGTGCTCCCACTGCTCCGTGTTTCTAACAAAACAAAACAGATCAGCACACTATTAAACTAGTTTCCAAGATTATGAATCAATAAATGAAATCCTTTTATTCTTACTTTGAACTATGGGTAGCAACTCTGTAGTAGTGGCTTTGATGGGTTGAATACTCTTGGCTATTGAGATTCCAAGCTCAGTTCAGTCAACAACAACCAAACGGAGCTTCTAAAAAACAAAGGCAAAAACACAGGACGGCAATCGGACCTTGAGACAATCGGATGAGGAAGAAGAGAAGTCGGTTGCGCGTGAAAGAGAAACGGTGGGCGTAGATCTAAGGAGAGAGGAGAAAGCCATTGTTGAAAATAACAGTGCCACTTTTCCCAAGGCTTATCTTTTTAACATACTCAAAATTTCAATTTATTTCAAGCGGAACCTGGGACGCTCAAAATTTATCATACATTTGACAACTAAAAATCTTAATTCCCAAAAGAAGATAATTTGTAACTATCTAATTAGTTACGTAACGGTAATTTTAGTCACAAATTAAAATCATATTTTTTCATTTTACCGGGAAAATTGGGTTCAAAAAAATTCATCAACTTTTAGCGACTAAATACATTTTAGTTACTATAATGAGTTTTTGCAACTAGGTGTAATATGCACAAAATAATTAGTTGCCAAATGTACCTGGGCCCTTTGTAATTATTGTCAAAAGCTTGAACATTTTGGTAATTGTATTATTTTGTAACTAATAAAAATAGTTTCAAATTAATTAATAAATATTTGCATCTAATTTAGCAACTATTCAGTAGTTGCAAATAATTGTTTTCTGTAACCATAATTTTAGTTGCAGAATCCCTTATTCTAGTTGCCAATTGTGTTCGCATAAGAATTGGCAACCAAATAAATTAGTCGCTGATGTGATATTTTGGGCAACAAATCACATTAGTCGCAAAATATTAATTTTAGACGCTAAAGACAGGAATAAATGGGCCCTAGAATTTTATTTCCTATGGCCGACTAATTAGAATTTAGTTACTAAATGTGGGGTATCTGTAACTATTTTTGCCTAGTTACAAAAAAAATGGTTGCAAAAAGTACTTTTTCTTGTAGTGAAGGCCAGGTTGGTAGCAAATGGATATGCTTAGGATGAAGAAATTGATGAAGTATTGTCTCCGGTAATTACACATTCTTCCATTTGGATTTTGTTGGCCTTGGTAACACATATGGATCTTAAACTAGTTCAACTTGATGTGAAAATTGTGTTTCTACATAGTGATTTGGAAGAGGAAATCTCCACGTCTCAACCAGATAGTTATAGGGTGGTTGGAAAGGAAAATTGGGTTTGCAAATGGAAGAAATCGCTATTGAAGAAGTCACTAAGACAGTGGCACAAGCAATTTGATAGGTTTATGATGGGGCAGAAGTACAGAAGAAATCAGATTGATCATTGGCATACAATAGTGTGTACTAGGCCCGACATTTCACATGCAGTTAGAATTGTGAGCTGGTATTTGCATGATCCTAGTAAAGGATATTGGCAAGCTATGAAATGGAACCTATGAGTTTGATCACGTCACTTGGCACATCTGAAGGTGTTGCAGAATTTGTCAGAAGAATACAGAAGAACTTTGAAGGTTGCCAATTCACCAAGGTGGAGATTTGTTGAAAATTTACTTATTAGCAATCCACAAGGAATGGGAATTTAGTAATCCCACTCCTAGTGAAATAAGAATGGAATAATTTGTAATCCAACATCAAGTGGGAATATAAATGAGTTTAGAATTTTTGGGCCTAGGTAAAAAAGGTCAAGTACTATTGTTGTTCATCCCAAAAATTAGTTTCTCTTCTACTCTTATTAATTGTAAAGGGTTCTTACCCTATAGTTGAGAGTTTTTCTGTATTCTTTTTATTTGGGTATTTATATAATTGCCCAAAAAATTGTAATATTCTTCAAGAATAGTGGAGTTTTTTTGCAACGCCACACAACGTAGATGATAATACCAAACCTCGTTAATTCTTGGTATTGTTTATTTTTGCACTTATTGTGGCTATTTATTTATACTCTAGTAGAGTTATTATTATATTTCAATAGCTAGCATTAAAGTTTGTATTTCCGCTGCACAACAATATCTTCATGTGACCGTGCCACCACTAATTATAAATGCATTTTCAAGAACTCATCATTGAGCTGCTTCTAAAAAATTAACCCTCTTCCACCAACATACCGTTGATTGTTCATTTGATTCCAATTTTAATTGAAGGTTGTTAGAGGATTGTATATTTCATCCTCACCAGGAATTCAAAATTGGAAATAATGACACTTACCATATTTGCAAGAATAATACAATTTATTGGGGTTCCTTGCTATTTAGGAAATTCTAAGAGCAGCCTTGTACGCACACTTGCATATCTGTTCTTGAATTTGATTGTGTGCCCATTAATAAATTTGTTGCTGAATGTTGATGTTGATTGATGGTTACCTGAAAATTTCCTCTATGTAGTTGAATTGGCTGTAGAAGGCGTCAAAAGATTCCACTACCTTCTATGCAAAAAGTCAACACAGGAATCCGGTGATTCAACCGGATTCCTCTAGATCGGTTAGTTCTGATCCTTAAGGGATTGGATTTGGCACTAAAGCGCCACCTTTGATCAGCGTTGACCACCAATCAACGTTGGTGCTAGCAACCATTGCCATATCAATTTGTTTTTTAATTTATAAAAAAAAAATATATATATATATATCAATGGATTAAATGTTTATTTAAGTTCAATTTATAATTTGAAAAATTGTGTATGGATATATTTGTCATTTTACATTGAAAAATTGGCTTTAGAAACAATCTGATTTTTAAAAGCTAACCATACTAGTTTTAAATTCCTTTTATAAAACTGATTATTTTCAAGTTCAAACTTAAATCAGTTTTTAAAAGCAATTCCAAAGGCACTATTCCTTCATAGACCACAACCCAGCAGGAACAAATCGATCCAAAGCTGATATTCTATGCAGAGTATCTATCAATAGCGCCGCTGCACAATCTGCAGCACCCTCAGAAAAGGCAGCACTAGCATTGCTGAAAATGCTACCCCGGGTCCTGTCTCCTGCGCTCTCCGAAGTCAATGAGTTCAATGCCAGCTCTGGATTCCCCTATGGCTATGAGCTCCAAACATGGTAGGAGATCCAAAATCTCGGAGGTGGTCGGGATTTAGCCAATGCAAAGGAGAGCACGTATGATTGAGCGCGTCCTATGAGGAAAGACTAAGTGGTTTTAGAAGAATCAGAGGAGTCAAGGAGGCTCCTTATCACGTTCTTGAGAATTAATGAAGGTTTCTTGATTTTCTTTAGAAACCATGGATATTTGTTAAGGCTTTGGAGAAACAAAGTCGCTAGCTATTGTTATCAACTGAATCTTGAACGTTGTGTTTTGCTTTGTTTTCAACTTTGAAAAATCATAATAAAAAAAAATGTAATCTCGTATCAACTGCATGCAGTTGTTCTAAAAATTGTAGTGAATAGCATTTGGATGGACTTCATGTCAGTAGTATTTCTCCTATCAGCAACATTCACGGAATTACAAGCCAATCTGAAACCTTCTGACTAATATGGTTATAATCTTTTCCAAATCCAGTTCGCCCTGTGATGAATGTCAGACCATCAAAGATTGAACCTTCACTATTGTAAGGCGGCCCCCATATAACAAGAGCACAAAATAACAGCAGCTTCGAGTTTTTTATAATTCAAAAACATTACGATACTCAATCAATCAATAAACAGTTGGTTCATTTATAATCTTGAAGTCTTTATTGTTACATTATAAATACAATTTTGTAATCTTGAAAAATAACGTGGGTGAAGAATCAAGAGTGCTTTCACTCAAGCTGGACCTGCGACAGCAGTGGCTTATTTGTGAAAAAAGCCATCAAGTTTCCCAGGATCACTTCCTGCAGAGCTGCAAAAGATTCCGGGGTCAGGACAGCAAGATGTGGTGACAATACAACATTATCTAAAGTAAACAGTTCTTTTGGCACATCAGGATCATTCTCAAACACATCAAGACCTGCTCCACCAAGTTCCCCCTGCACCAAAAACTGCACTAGCTCCTTCTCATCAATAAGAGAACCACGTCCAACATTTATTATTACCCCTTCCTTTCCTAGTGCTGTCATGACATCCTTATTGATCATATGGCGAGTTTCGTCTGTCAACGCACAACAAACAATGAGGACATCACTATTAGTGGCAAGGTCACAGACATTCGCATAAAATGGGTATGAGATAGCTGGATTCTTCTTTCTTGATGTGTAAGCAATGCTGCAACCAAAGGCCACAAGCCTTTTAGCAACTTCAGAGCCTATGCTTCCCAGTCCTACAATCCCAACTCTCTTTCCTCCTAACTGTAATTAACACCATGGCATGTAAGAAAAATGCATAACATACTGAGAAGTATTTGACATCTAATAAAGAAATCTATAATGTTTTCGTCTGACAAAAAGTAAGAAAAGATGGAGAGATGGAAAGTGCAGAGTTAAGTTTGCCAAACCCTCATGCATTTTCCCGACTAATTCTTTAGTGACAGACACTGGTAATCACATCAAGGAAAATCAAGTTACGCACAAGAAGGCTCGAACTAACAAATTAAATGATTGCATAAATCTATTAATTCATTAACTGTATATAGTCCAAAATGACGCTAATACTTACCAAACCACAAGTTGGAAATCAGGATGCTTTACCAAATATTAACTAAATTAGAATTGTCTAAAGCAGTCATTCTAAATTTTCTACTCTTCCAAGGTATTTGACACAAAAAAAAACTCAATGTTAATAAATAAAGATAAAACCAGAGAGAAGAATTAATAACCAATTGTATTTATCAAAGCTTCATTATCTTATAATGCTAATGACTACTAATTCTATGTATCTAGGGCAAAATAGTTGTTGTAACAATAGAAGACGGTGATCCTCTGAAATCATCAAAGGAGGCTTTCAGTGATATCATATTTTCTTAAAACTGTTCCACTAATTACATGTCAATTTTATCATGAGCATCATCTCCAAAACAACATCAAATTCAACCATAATTGATGATCAAGACAACCTACTCAATTTTTCCAAACGATGATGCCCTTAAGCGGGTGCCAGACATTTCTAGGTTATCTCAAAACAATCTCAAAAAATTCAAACGCTAAAAATCCATATTTTTCTAAACGATTGGGTACTAGTCCAACCCTTAGCTAATATAATTTCCATTAAAGCAATCAATATAACAAATTTGTTTGTATATGTCAAAAATAAAAATCAAACTCACCCAATAATCGAATGTACATAATAAAAATCAACTTAGAACAAAAAATGAAAATAAAATAAAAAGACCAAACCTTAGAACCAACTGGATATGTCCCATATTTTGGCCACATCCCGGAGCGACCAAAGCGATCACTGGCTGAGACTCTCCGCAAAACATCAATCAACAAAGCGAGAGCATAATCAGCGACGTCTTCAGAGAAGGCGTGACCAGCGTTAGTGACAATGATGCCACGTCGGCGGCACTCGATGAGGTCAACGTGGTCAATGCCGGCGCTGGTGCCCACAACAATTTGCAAGGAAGGAAGAAGAGAAAGAGTTTGGGAGGTGATTGGAGATGGGCCCACACAGAGGAGGGCGCTAACGGAAGTAGCGTGGCGGGAGAGGAAGGAGTGAATTACGTCGGGCTCAGGCGAGTGGAGGAGAGGGTCAACGAGAGTGAAGTGAGTTTGGAGGCGAGTGCTGAAGGAGAAGTTGAAAATAGAGAGGCGGTGAATTAGAACAACAGGAAGATCTTGTTGGTTTCGGCTTTGGTTTGATTGCGTTTCAGATTCAGACATGCTGGTGTGATGATTTGGGAGAAGAAAAAATGTAACGTCTGCAGGCGAAATGCTTTGATGGTATGTATGTTTGGGGAGAGAAACATTAGGGGTTCCGAAAATAAATTGAAGTTAGTCACTGAGTCGGGGACTCGGGGTTGGCTAATTGTTTAAATTTATGTAAAACTAGATGATTGCATAACAAAGTTGTTTTGACACTATATTTGAGTAAATGACTATTTCCCACCCAAGGTTTGCCTTAATGACAATTTTCCACCCAAAAAATTTCAAAACACCAAATTACCACCCATTAGGAAGTTCCGTTGGTAGTTTTTGTAATGTAAAGGGGTATAATGGTCAAACGACGGGTAAAAGTAAGGGCATTATTATCAAAAAATATTTTAATAAAAAATTAAAATGTGAAATTGAAGTGTAAGGTTGGGGCATTAACAAGTGTCCGTGACAGTTGACATTTGAAGAAAAGGAAACTAAAACACTCATGACCTTTGAAAGAAAAGGAAAAGGAAACTCAACGTTTGCGTGTTCTAGAAGCGGCGACTCTTGGGTTTTTAGTTAACGTCTTCGACTACCTTTCTAGTGACTGTTTACGGTGATCTGGGTAGACTAGCGGTGGAGTAGCAATTGGCGAGTTTAGCGTTCGTGTACATTGTTAACGGTAGGGGTTAAGGGTTATTGACAACGACTTTTACTGGCGAACGTCTTCTAGTGACGAGTTGGTTTTCTGAGTCGCGACTTTTGAAGTATGTAATCGTTGAGGCTGTCAACAATAAGTTTAAGTGTGCGAGTGTTTGAACTTTTGGAGGTAGTCATCTTTGTTTATACTTTTTTTGTTTTTGTTTACTATAGGTTGTGTTGGAAAGAAAAGTTTTTTTCGTTTTGTGGTAATATCTATGTAACTGTGGTAAGGTTGATGATTTGAGTGTTATATTTATTTGTAGGTGGGTCGCGAAACTTATAAAGAAGAGACAATTCGTGTGTGACCAAAGAAGCTTGGCATCCTAGTAATGTGGGTATCTCCTTCTTTGTTTTTTGCAGTACCTTTTTTGAGCATTTGTAATATGTGCATGTATGTCTAAATCAATTCTTTATGTTTATGATTTGAATGTGATCTTGTTGTTATTGTATGTGATTTCACTACTATATAAAAAATCTGACAATGGAAAAAGAGTAATGGAGCATTGGAATTATTGAAAATTGTGAAGTTAGATTTAAATTGTTAAAATTGTGGTTCTGGATGTACTTTGTTGATGCTTAATTTTGACACCAATGATTCGCACGTGCAAAGTGCTAAGCTGGCTTAAAAATTACACGTGAATGGAAAATGCAATAAAGTAAATGGAAGATGATTTTTAAAGTGGTTTGTATACTTAAAGCAAATATTTTATATATTTATGAGGTTACAGGAGGTCGCGTATAGCGAATAGCGAGTAGAGGTACAAGTGACGAATTATTCAGAGAGAATATCAAGTCAGTCTCTTTCTCACAGGTTATCTGTGTTTTGAGAGTAAAAGGTTCATTTTATTCTTATAAGTCATCGTACGAGACAATGCGTATGGAGACTAAGTCATCTTTGCATGTCGCACATTTTTTGACTTTAAGAGCAATGGACGTTCCGGAGATAAAAGCAGTCGAAGGGACAAGGTCACAGCCATCGGGCACCTCGATGGGTCCCGGATGGGCGGTACTATCAGCAGCCACTGTGAACAAAATTCAAAAGGCGGTAGATCAATTTGCGATCAACGTAAATGTCTACCAGCATAGGTCGCACACTGCTCAGGACTCTCCACAGGGAATGGTTGCTATCTTAGAAGCAATTTTCAAATGTAGGGTCACGATACCCTTTCATCCCTTCATCAGGTCGATTCTTGACCACTTCGAGGTTGCACCGTTCCAGTTGACACCAAATGTGTATATGATAGCAGTCGCTATGTATATCGCATGTAGTGAACACAGACTCGGCGAGCCGACAGCTGTGGAGCTTGGCTACGCCTACTATTTGAATAGAAGTAAAGATAAGGATTCATATTACCTCTCAAAACGATCAACAATCGTGAGAGGGATATTTGGTTACCCCATCAATGTTGGGGCTTACAAAACCAAATATTTCTTCTTTGAATATGATGGTGTTTGTAAATTTAGAGAGCCAAGTAGGTTTTCCCTTTAATTTCCAAATTGTTTATCCCTTTTCTTTATCCTTTCCTTAATAAGTAAGGCTAATGCACTCTTCGCTTTCTTGCAGGAAATAAGACGACCAGGTTATTGGCTCTAGCAGACTTTAGCCGCATCGAAGCATTCGGTCTACTGCTTGACCAAAGTCGCGACGCGAAGCTACTCGTGACCACTGCCAACTTACAAAAATACGGTTTCTTTAGCCCCAAAGCATCCTTGGAAGCTCTAATTCATAAGTACCTTCCTATGTAGGAGAACTCTATCTTTATTAAAAAATTTCCTTTGTTGACACACTTTCTTGTCGTGCAGCGACCATGCCACCAAGGGTTCCAAAGACATCGAGAAGAACTGGGGGATTCATATTTCCTAGGATTGACTCTATTGAACCGATTGGAGTGACCTTTAGCGATGTCCCCACGAAAGGGATATTGATCGATGCTGAAAGGCAACCAACCACGAAGCGACGCGAAGAAGCTCCCCAGCCTACAGCCGCTTGTGCTATGAAAAAGAAGACCGTGGGCCAAAAGACCAGGAAGACAAAGCAACTACCCACCGAGGAGGAGTCGGAGTCTGAACCAGAAGACCTCGAGGTATTGTCAGAGAGAACTCGGTCCTACCAAGTCTTGCGCTTGGGGATGCCCTCGAGGGACACCCTCATCACTTCGGCTGCCCCCAAGAGTTCGCACAGGGGAGAGGGACTAACCACAGCCACCCAGAGGAGAGCGGGCAAACAATGAGCTGAAGAGGTGCTTGCCTCCTCGAGGCTAGACCCATCAGTGTTGGATTCATTGGGGCAATTTCCGGAACACTTGCAGCCGGTGGTATACACCCTACTAGAATGTCAATTTGCTGCAGCCTTTGATGAGTTCGTGGCTTCTCGACCCTTTGACTTGGTAGCCACTACGCTCCAGTTGCTAAGTCAGGTAAAGCTGCTAGTTCTCTTCGAGAACTTTTCAATACCAACCAGTCTCTTAGCTTTTTAAGATCTTGAAAAAAAAAAAAAAAACTAACTCTTGGCTTTTTTCTCATGCAGTCTTTCCTTGCGCTGACCATGGCCCAACATAAGAGCGACATGGACTCTACCAACAAACTCCACGAGCTGAAGGAGGAGAATACAAAGCTAATGTAGGATCTTGCGATCGTAGATGCAGAAGCAAAAGTGGCTCGTATCCAGGTGGATCAGTACCTGACCGAAAAAGATGCTTGCCTTTGGCTGCGCCAAGCTTGGCCTTCAACATGTGCTTAATAGTCTTGTTGACAGCTTCAGCCTGACCATTGGCTTGCAATCTTGCTACTGAGACGAATTTCTTATGAATCCTTAGCTCGTCACAAAATTGCTTGAATTCCTCTTTTTTGAACTACTTCCCATTATCTGAGATGAGTGTATAAAGAATCCCATAGCAGCACACTATATTCTTGAAGACGAAGTCTTTGAGCTTTTTTGTAGTGATCACAGCCAAAGGCTCTGCTTTGACCCACTTAGTGAAATAATTCATTGTGACCACTGTGTATTTGACGCCCCCTTTACCGGTTGGCATAGGCCCGATGAGATCAATTCCTCACTTAGAAATGGCCAAGGACTGGTCATTGTATTTAGTTGGTGGGAAGGATCTTGCAAGATGTTCACAAATCTTTAGCACTTGGCACACTTCTTCACAAAGTTGAAAGTATCCTCGTGAAGTAGGGACCAATAATATCCCTGACGGACAATCTTATTGGCGAGAGATCGTGCAGCAGTGTGATTACCGCAGATCCCTCCATGTACCTCTCTCATGATGTAGTCTGTTTCATCGTCGGTTACACATCAAAGGAGGGGAGTGCTAAACCCTCGCTTATACAATTGATCCCCGATAAGTGTGTAACAAGCAGCTCTAGTTCGCAAGAGTCTCGCCTTAGTCTTACCGTTGGGTAGAGTCTCATCTTGGGAATACTGAATGATCAAAGTTATCCAGGAAGTAGATTTGGTTGCAACTACGGTTTGCTCAGGTGAGCTGATGTTGGGAACCTCGATGTACCGAATTGGAATACTGTTCGGAGCATCAGAATCCAACGATGCGGCTATTTTTCCTAAAGCATCCACGACAGAGTTACTGTCTCTCAGGATTTGCTTGATCGTATAATGTTTGAAAGGCTCGAGTGCGGCCTTGGATTTTTTCAGACAATTGATCATGTTTTGTTCTTTGGTTTGACATTCTCCCAAAATCTGATTGACAACTAGTTAGGAGTCACTATTGATGTCGATTACACCCATTTCTCTTGCTAGCCGCAAGCCAGCAAACAGTGCTTCATATTCAACCTCATTATTCGTAGCTTTGAACCCAAACCTAAGGATTCTATGAATACGGGTCCCTTCGGGACTGGGGAGAAGAAGACCAGCTCCTGCTCTTCTTCTATTCAAAGATCTATCAACATAGAGGCTCTAGGTTATAAGTTCCGAATATTTTGTTGGACAACCCCGTTGGCTGACTGTTTGAGCTCTCGATCTGTCTAGTAAGGGAACTCCGAAATAAAATCAGCAACAGCCTGCCCTTTGACTGTTGTCTTTGGTTTGTAATGCAGATCGAAATGATTCAATTCCATAGCCCACTTGAGCAACTTACCCGAAGCCTCTAGCTTCTGAAGAACTTGTTTGAGTGGATAGTTGGTGAAAACATGGACGGTGTGAGCATGGAAATAAGGTCGCAGCTTTTTGGAAGCGATCAGCAGGGCATAAGCCAATTGTTCCATCTCTAGATACCGCATTTCAATGTCTAGTAGTCGCTTGCTCATATAATATATCGGCCACTGAACCCACTCTCTTCCCAAATGAGAGCTGCTCTGACTACATACTAAGAGACAGACAGGTAGAAAAATAAGATTTCCTTGGGAAGATGCTTATACAGAAGAGATGGCTTTCCCAAATGCTCTTTTGTACTCTAGAAGACTTGCTCACATTCCAAAGTCCATTCAAAGTT